TTGAAAGGACCAGTTCTGTACAGCATGATACCAGTCATAGTAACAATCTGATTTTATTGTGCCTTCCTTTCATCCATTGCATTATTAGCATTGCTTTCCATGTTTTTTTGTTATACCTGCTTTGATGTGCACAGTAAGAAATTCTCATAGAACACTTCTGAGAGTCCAAGACTGCTGATGTTAGAACATAGCTAAGAAATGATAGAACAAAAACAATTCAATATCACTGCATTATAGTCATATGTAAGCTGTTATCATAAAGGGCCATTCTATCCTTCCATAAGGATAAGCCATTGAACATGCACCTTATTAAAAAAAAAAGTCAACACGTTTATTAAATGGACCAAAAATGTCACAGAAGAAACTATTGAGCATATAATAGAAAATCTTTTTAAAATCTGCCAAATTTACCCAAGAGACCTTAACGTTTCTTTTCAACTTATTCTTATCTCTTGGGTAAATAAGCTGTTTTACAAAACTGCCTAATTACATCTTTACCCAAGAGACTGAAATTATGTCTTCAGAGGCATTCCCATTTTATTCTGTGACATTTTATTCATTTCACCCCATAAAATTCTTACTCACTCCATTTTGACCACAGTGGGCATTTTGCCTGAGTAAGGACTTCAGGATTGGTCCCAAGGGAATGAAATGCAAAAACTACAGTATACAGTACTTAAATGTTACAGGTCTTGTAATCAGCAGTATGGGTTAATAAATATATATTTTTTATTTCAGACTGACATGAACCAATAAACAGAGAAAATTCATGACCTTTGTTCCATGGAACTATTGGCAAGAGTAAGACTTACTTGTGTGAGTGAGATTTGTAGTGAGTAATATGCTGTACAGCTGTACTCTCTTCAATGCAGTGTGCAAAATTGTATAACTATATTTACTGAGTTACCTGGGCTCCAGTATTTCAAAAGTAAGTACAGTGCTGCAGCAGAGGGAAAGACCAGTGGTTTTATAATAAGGTTGCATAGAGAAGTAAATGTGTCTTTTTTAAGAATAGATTAAAATCAAATAATATTTAAGAAGCACCTGTTGAAGTTTTGACTTTGCTGTGGCTGTGAGTGGCTCTTTCCTTCACTGAGGCTCTGATTGACAAAAACTCTTAAGCGCATGCTTGACCATCCATATTTAGCAAAGCACTTACACGTGGGTTTAACTATAGAAGCATGCCTGTGTGCTTTGCTGAACAGGATTACTTTCCTGAATTGGAGTTTTAGGCCAAAACAGTCGAATAGGTTTCTTATTCCAGCATGAGCAAAAGTTCTGATCTCAAATTGGGGCTGACATTCTGACTAGAATAGAATACTCCTCACCAGTCCCATCTCCAACCTCAGAATAAAACAAGATTACGGCTGACATTATGGTGATGTCATGGTAGGGGGTCTACTACAGACCACCTAACTGGGAAAAAAAGGTGGATGAGGCTTTTTTAAACAACTAAGAAAATCATCCAAAGCATAGGACTTGGTGGTGATGGGGGACTTCAACTACTCAGACATCTGTTGGGAAAATAACACAGCAGGGCACAGATTATCCAATAAATTCTTGGAATGTATTGGAGACAATTTTTTTTTATTTCAGAAGGTGGAGAAAGCTACTAGTGGAGAGGTTCTAGATTTGATTTTGACAAATAGGGAGTAACTTTTCAGAATAATACCGAAACAGGACTCAATCACCCACATTCCATTCAATAAACTTCAGAATGTTATTCAGCCTTTGATCCATTTTCTTACTGTTGGCCTTCAAGGTGATGGCTACTGTCTAGAGTTTAAAAGAGAACTGGATACATTCATGGTGGTTAAGTCCATTAATGGGTATTAGCCAGGACGGGTAAGGAATGGTGTCCCTAGCCTCTGTCTGTCAGAGGGTGGAGATGGATGGCAGGAGAGAGATCACTTGATCATTGCCTGTTAGGTTCACTCCCTCTGGGGCACCTGGCATTGGCCACTGTCGGTAGACAGGATACTGGGCTAGATGGACCTTTGGTCTGACCCGGTACGGCCTTTCTTATGTTCTTATGTCTTCTGCACATTAGTGATGATATCCAGTAGAGATTTTATGTACTGATCAGTTACTGCTCGTGGCCGATATTCATCGGGGGGTACCCCTCCTGGCACCCACCATTGTTCTGGAGTCACCATTGGTCTTCCAAATAAAACCTCATGAGGTGTAAAACCAAGAGATCCTGTTGTGGACCTTATTGCCAGGAGAATTAAAGGGAGATGTTTATCCCAGTTTTTGCCCAACGAGTCAATAACCTTTCGGAGTGCGGCTTTTAAAGATCTGTTTGACCTTTCTACGAGGCCCGAAGCCTGAGGGTGACCTGCCACATGATACCTTTGCCTCACCCCTAGGGCTATACAGAGCTGTTTTGTCACTTCTCCTGTGAAGTGAGGGCCTTGATCTGAATCAATTACTCGTGGTAGCCCAAATCGGCTAAATGCATTCTCTAGTATAACTTAACAGTAGTCTGGGCTGTACAGTTGCGTGATGGATATGCTTCAATCCATTTAGAAAAAGGGTCAATACATACCAAACAGTATTAATTTCCCCTATTAGTCCGTGGTAAGGGGCCGATATAATCAATTTGTACCCATACCCAGGGACTGTCTACTGGCTGGTGGAGAAGTGGTCCCTTTACAATTTTAGTGTCCGGATTATTCTGAGCACACCTCAGACAGTTTTTAATATAATGTTCAGTGTCCCTCACTATTTCTGGCCACCAGGCCATAGCAGCCAACTTATTCGATGTTTTCTGGATTCCAAAATGTCCTTGGTTGTGTGCTAATTTTATCAATTCCTGATGCAGCACATTAAGGATTACCAGTAGTGGGATACCATTTTCTTCTGATTCCAGATCTTTACCTTTATTCTTTGTTGCCAGATTAGGCCGGATGGATGCTGCTGAATGTTGTATGATTTGCATTTTCCATCTTTTACTAACTGTTTAATGTCCGGATCTTGTAATTGCAGTTTTATAATGTCCTGATGGTCAATATAATCTGTTGTTGTTAATGCATCTATGGTGGCTTTTACTTTGTCCCATTGGTGTTCTGGTCCCAACCTTGCAGCTTGTTTTGCCAATTGATCTACTCTGCTATTCGGGAGAGTGATTTCTGCCTGATTTTTGTGATGAGCTTTGACTTTGAATAAGAAGGTGTCACCCCCCCTGGCTTTCGCTAACTGCCACGCATGTTGCAAGTATCCTGCATACGCAACCGGCTGGTTATCAGTTGTTCTCATCTTTTGTGCCCTCCATACAACCATTCAATCTAATAATGCTCTCATTACCCAGTCGGAATCAGTGCAGATGGTAATGTTCGAGGAAGCTTCTGTATTCTCCAAGGCTACATGATTTCTGCAGCCTGAGCTGAGTTGTGTTTGAAAGTTCCTTGATATACCTTTTCGGAAGCAACATGAAGAGCTGCAAATCCTGTAGCTGCTTTCCCATTTATGTACAAGCTGCTGCCATCTACAACCCACAAAACTCGATTGTAAGTCTTTGCATCCTCAAATACCAATTCCAACTTAAAAGGAGATGTAATTTCAAGGTTCTTGATTTCAGGAAGAGGACATTGGTGATTAGTCAGGGTTTCTTCTGGTGTTAGAACACAAAGTGCAAAAGGTGCCAAACTAGGACTTGCAACTTTTTCCACCTGTATCTCTTTGTTGATTAATGCCAGGGTCCAATTGGCCAAGCGATGATGGCTCACTCTTCCCTAATTGGCTTTTCCAGTCAATACATACTTTACAGGAGTATTCAGTGTTTTCAGTACAATGGGAGACATACCCACTATGTACTCCCAAAGTGCCAGTGCCCATACAAGATCTTGTACTTCTCTTTCACATTCTGTGAACTGTTGTTCTACTGTGGACAGCACTCTGGATCCATATGCAATAGGCTTTAAGGAAGTTCCATTGTGTTGTAACAGAATGGCTCTGATTGCCGTGCTGGTAGTGGCTAGCTAGTGGTGGAAAGGCTTATTCTCCTATGGGAATGCTAAAGCTGATGCTTCCATCAAAGCTTTCTTTAGTTGCTGGACAGCATCTTGTTCTTCTTTTCCCCATTTCCACTGTTGACCTTTTCTGAGGAGTTGGTATAGAGACCTTGCTTTTTCACTGTAACCCTCAATGAAATCTCTTGAAGCCAACCAGGCCTAAGAACGACCTGAGGGTGCTCACCTCTGTCAGCGCAGGAAGTTTGGCTATTAATTCTATCCGGTGGGTGTCAGGTTTCCTTCCAGCAGGTCCCAGTTGCACTCCTAGATAGACAACTTGTTGCTGGACTCATTGGGCTTTAGTTGGATTTATTAGTAAACCTGCTGTCTTCAGTATCCCCAATACTTCATCAAAAGCATTGCCATTTTCTTGCTTGGTCTTAGTTGCTATTAGTATGTCATCCACATAGCTCACAATGTTGTTCCAGTAAGAGGCAGTTTTCCACAATGCTGCCACGATTCGATGGCATATACATGGGGCGTTGTGATACCCTTAGGGAACCCTGGTGAATGTGACTTGCTGTTCGTCAAAGGTAAAGGCAAACTTGTAATAGCAGGAAGGATGAAGTGGTATAGAAAAGAAAGCGTTGGAAATGTCCAGTACACTATACCAACAAGCACCTTCTGTAATTAAGTTAATAACTTCTGGAAACTTGGCAACCACAGGGGCTAACCTGGGTGTTACTTTGTTTAAGCCTCGGTAGTCCACGGTCAATCTCCAGGAACTTCCGTCTGCCTTTCTAACTGGCCAAATAGGAGAGTTGCATACGCTTTGACAGAGAATTAACACTTCTTGTTCTAATAGTGCTTCTATTGTAGATCGAATCCCTTCTTTTGCTTCTGCAGAATATCGATACTGACGCAAAAGTTTCAGGTCAGGACCTTCTACCTTAATTGCAGCTTGTACTTTTCCACAACTTAGCTTGCTGGGAGCAAATACTTCCCTGTGTTTATTGGTGACATGTTGAATTTCTTCTTCCCATTCAGGGAGTTGCAGTTTCTCTGGAGCCTTGGCAGCGCAGATGCGGTGAGAGGCAGGGATAATGCTGCCTGCTTCTCCTTGTTCCGCTTGGATCAGCATTCTATTGGGTAAGTCGATGGCTATATTTAATTGTTGTAACAAATTAATTCCCATTATTCCTGTTGCATCCAATCTTTGTAGTCCAAATGATGCCTGGGTGGATAAAGGCCCAATATAACAAGTGACATTATAAGTAAATGAAATAAAATTTTCCTTTCCATTATAGGATACCAGAGATTTTAATTCCTTAACTGGTAAATCCTTAGCATTAGGACTTCCTTTAAGGCACAATAAATTAGTAGAGGCCCCTGTGTCCACTAGCATTGGCTGTTCAATACTACCGAAGCTTCCCATTATTTTGATTTTTACAGTAGGCCTGCCCCATTCATCGTTGACTAAAGGGGCTATCAGTCCAGGGGCTTGGCAAGCTCAGCCTCCTCAGCAGTTGCTGCTGGTGGAGACAGAGTCTATTGGAGTATTGGTCTTTTGTTCTCCAGCCCTTTGCCCAGATTCATATCTGTCTAGTTTCAAAAACATGTCCTCTGCTGACAGCTTTTCCTTGTTCAATTTGTCCCAAGGATTGGGATAATCTTTTCATCATGATGTTTTTTAAAGTTCTCATTTCCTCACCACTCCCTCTGCACATGAAATTCTTATAGCCCAGGGTTTTGTGGGTGGGATTTTGTCCTGTGCTGTTACCCGTGCCATCTGTTGATTCCTTATTGGTGTATGCAGCTACCTTTCTTTTTGTTGATGATCCCGAATGGGCAGATTGTTGGAGCTCAAATATCTCTCTGGCCCTTGCCTCTAATAAAGGTAGTCAAGTATTTCATGTATCTATAGGACCCATTGCTAACCGAATACTAGGAGACAGACCTTGTATATACAGTTCCCTTAATTCAGGGATATCATATGTAACAACCCTATTTTGGATTATTCCTAATCCTGCCAACCAAAACAACAGTCTTTTTCTTAGTAAATATTTTTCAGGCCTCTCATCAATACTCTGCTTCTCTGAGTATGCTTTGCCCATTATATTATCATGTGGATAGAATAATCTAACATACACACACATATATATATATATATATATATATATATATATATATATATATATATATATATATATATATATATATAT